CCCGGCCTCCTACTTCTAGGAGCGCTCAGCATCGCGGAGCAGCGACACAGTCACTTAATTAACAAGCAGCTTTGCGTTCTTCCTTCTTCCATCATTCTGCAAAACAAGTTGAACAAAAAAATTATTCAGAGAGGAAGTTGCATATCATTGGGGATAGAGTGGTTTCTGCTCAATACGGTGTTAACGACGATAACAATGTAAAAATCTGTGGCTGTCCAATTTCCATTCGGGGGAGGGGAGGGGGGAGTTTTTTGAATGATGGGTTAGCCTTTTTGGGGGCCTATAAACAGGAAAACTTAGAAGAAGTGGGAATAACGGCAGCCATGCCCAAGAAATTTTTTTACAAAGCTAATTTAAAGAAAAATTCTAAAAACAATCTTGATTATTTCGTGGTCTAAACAACCCAACATTTGCACATTTTTATAACTCATGTAAGTGACCCTCAAAACTTCTCCATCATTCCCCCCCCCCCTTCGGTCCTTTACTGCTGAGAATATAGAAAAATTCCAACCTACAGCTATCAGCCCAGAACGAAGTGTCATGTGAATTGTGCAAAAATCCGCAATATTGTGCAATACCATTGCTAATCTATGTTACCTCTGATAGCACCGCCCAACCTGTTCCCCTCTTCGGTTTTCAGTGCTGCTTCCCTCTTCGATTAGATGCTCTGATGTCTGACACCCAAAAAACTGCAATAATCTCACTTCATTTCAACGTGCCCGATAAACTAAACGTCTCTTACAAGAATAAAAATGATCTGTGGAAATCGTACAAGAAATGGATAAGAAGTCTTAATCTCCCTAGCAACGAGGTGTATTTTTGCGATAGAGAAGGCTATCATACAGGGATTAGGAATGCAGATGACTTATTCGAAGCTGTGCAGCAGCCAGGCTATGTCAAGCTATTCACTCCTGGCAAGGAAAGAGAAATCAGCACTGATTCGGAATCAGAAATAGCAAGTTCTTCGCTTATACTCCGTGGACGAAGTCAAAAAAAGAAGTGGACGACGAATAGTCGACTTCCAGAATGGACACCGACTTCATCTCCACCTCCTTACTATTTTTTCATTGACGACAATTGCACAAAAAAGAGCATGAATTACTTCCATAAGCAAGATGATCCTCCCAAGTTTCGGCAAAAATTTCCAGCAATAGATTGTTCTTCCAGTTATCTTCTATCTCCGAACTTTGCCGATTTCCAAGGAAATAATTCGATTCCAACCGCTCAAATTTCTCCATGGAAGCGACAGAACTCTTTGCGAAATGTGCACGACGTTATTGACGCAGTACTCGTGGTGGCACGTATCGGTGCAAAGGCAATGAGAAAACTGTCGATAATTGCCAGTTGCTGGGGACTACTTTTTATGTTAACTGCACACACTCGTCATTGTTTGAAGCGATGAATAAATGAAAGCCATTCC